CGCCGTGCTGCAGTACCGCACCGCCGGGCCCGCCGCCGGGCGCGGCTTCTACGTCTGCGACCCGGGCAGCGCGCACGGCACCTTCCTCAACCGCCGCCGCCTGCCGCCGCGCGCCTACTGCCGCCTGCAAGTCGGACACTGCCTGCGCTTCGGCGCCAGCTCCCGCCTCTTCGTGCTGCAGGTGCGTGCCCGGCCCGGGAGGGGGGGCTGGACCGGCGCTCGCACGGTGCCAGGCCTTTAGGTGTGAAATTATCCTATGGGAAACTCCTAATGCCCGTGATATCTGACCAGCTGTTGCAGGCAGGGAACACACAAACCAGCAAATAAACAAAAAAGGATGCGAGTAAGCTTGTTCTTATTTACTTGATATTGCTCACTTCAGTGTTGCCATCTCCTGTGTTTTGGCGTTGGTCTTAAAGTCTACGCTTGGGGAATGCAAAAGACTTAGCTCTTTCGTTTATGTATTTTTATATACATGTATGTTATATGTATAGATGTGTCTTTAGGTATAGCGAGAGAGCTATAGATGTGTGTGTATATATCTCTCTGTCTCTCACTAGGTCTGTGCGTACACACAGGTACACCTCGCTTAACGTCATCCTGGTTAACGTTGTTTCGTTATTACGTTGCTGATCTATTAGAGAACATATTTGTTTAAAGTCATGCAGTGTTCAGTTATAAGGTTGTTTGACTGCCACCTGCTAGGAGGTAACTACTGTGACATAATTGGATTTGTTTACCATCGTTTCGCTTGAAGTTGCATTTTTCAAGCACATAACTACAACGTTAAGCAAGGAGTGGGGGGGGGTGTACACATGCAAGCCAATTGCCCATCAAGAATGATGGGGGGCAGGCGGGAATGGAGCCCCGTGCCTCACCACATCTGGGCCCACTCCCCCCTTTCCTCCTGCTGCTTGGGGTCTGGGCCCACTCCGAGTAGCAGGAGGGAGGGGAGGAGCAGGCCCAGGCTCAATGCAGGGGAGGGACCGGGCCCAAGAATGGGGAGAAGCCAGGCTGTTGCGGCGGAGGCAGAGCAATGGGCCTGGGCCCAACCCAGTGGCGGTGGGGGGACAGGAGGAGTGTGCTTGGGGCCGACACAGGGGAGGGCATTGTGAAGGAGGAGTGGGCCCGAATCCCGGAGGAAGCTCACTTCTCCCCTGCCGCTGCCACATCAGGCCATGTCTGGCTTGTCGTCCTGTGTGTGTCGTCGCCCCCGCGCACCGCTCAGGCTCAGTTCTACACCCCACTCCCCCACATCAGGCCCAGGCCCACTCCTTCCCTCCCCCCATAGCCACATTGGGCCTGCTCCTCCCCCCACCCCCGCCATATGGGCCTTGCAGGCTGCAACAACAGTAGGGGTAAGGGGCAGGCCGAGGCCAGCACTGGTGGCCATGCCCCCCTGCAGCGGCCCAGCCCCACTCCCCCCCCTTACTGGCACCACCGCCATCACCTTCAAGGAGTGGGGGGGACAAGGCCAGCTCCAGTGGCCTCGCATCCCCACTCCGTCCCCCGTGTCCCTGCCATCATGGCGGTGCTCTATAGCCTCCTGTCCAAATGCTTCTTTGCACTCTCATTGGCTATTTGTCAGCCAGTCAGAGTGTGAATAAAGTCAGACAGAAGCTTTTATAATATTAGAATTTCTATATATAGAGCAGGAGATCTATATCTGTGTGCATGCATCTATGCATATGTATTTGTACATACGTAAAAGAAACAGCTAAGTTTTTCACATTCGTGAAGCATGGGCTTTAAGAACAATGCCAAAAACCATGAGAGTTGGCAACACAGGTTTCCCTCAATTTATGCAGGTTCGATTTATGCATATTCATTCTTATGCCATGACCCTTTTGTACCTGAAATTCATTATATGTGAGAGAAATTCATGTATATGCGATTAGCATAGGCCTGGAGAACACCTCATAAATCAAATTTGCATAAAGCGAACCTACTTTATAATGTAAGAAATAGGGATAGGTTCCCCTGTCAGCTTCTCCTGGGGCCGGCTGGCGTGAGTGCTGAGAAGCGGAGCCCCGGGCGCAGCACTCGCCCCAGCCCCGGCTGCAGCAGCCCTGGGAGCTGCTTGCAGCCACTAGGCTGTACCAAGCCCCCCAGGGCTCTGCTTGGCCCCACGCACCCCAGCTCCTGCTGCAGCTGTCCTGGGAATGACTAATGCCAGCTCCCTGTAGCTGCTGGGCTGCACCATGCCCTGGTGCAGGCAGCTGGTGCTGGCAGCTCCCAGGGCCACTACAGCCAGGGCTGAGGTGAGTGCCACGCCCCACAACGCCTGGGGCTCCGCTTGTCCACACTCACCCCAGCTGGCCCTGGGAGCAGCCAACAAGGGAACCTCTCCCTGTTTCTTACATTATAAAGTAGATTTGCTTTATGCAAATTCAATTTACGCAGTGTTCTCCAGGAACGCAGGTACCCCATAAATTGAGGGAAACCTGTTCTGTCACCGTAATTCCCCAGGGAGGGAGGGAGAACTGGGTCATCAATGTGGAAGTGTTTCTTTATTTCGAGGCAGCCAGTCATAAGAAAGCACTGACCGCAAACTCGAAAGTCAGTTGAAACTCTCTGGGTGTGTCTACACATTGCCGTATGTTGCCATACAGTGTGCTATGGCGACATAGCAATCGCATGAGTCTACACGTGATTGGCAGCTACCTCACTAGCAGCATGCTCCCCTGTTTTAGCGTGCCACTACAGTGAAGTAACAATGAAATCTAACTGTGCACCGCATGTATGGTACAGTTGCTGCACCATGTGTTAGTACTTCCAAAAGGAAGTACTACAACATGTCACCGTACAGCGACCTGTAGACCCATCCTCCTAGAGTGATTTGGATTTTGTGTATGCTGCATCAATTAACGGCCTTAAATTATTGTGTGTTTTGAACACTTTTAACATTATCTATTGTACATTGTACAAGGGTTGAAATTATGCAAATAAGATAATTATCGCACACCTGGCAGCATTGAGGCACGCACACCTGTCCTACATGTGTGGGCACGTGCGCACACGTATGATTTTTGCTTGGATCTTACTTTATATGTTTGTGTGCATGCCAGCGGTTGCACATGCACATCCTTCAACCAAGAAGGAATTTACTTTAACAAGAATCTGTACATTCAAGTGACTCAGAAATTTGCCAGACAGTGCATTGGCTGCCATGGAATTGCTAGAGCTGGCCCCCTGCATAGGACAGGATTTCAGGGTGAAAGGAACCTTGGAAGCCCTTGACAGTGCCATATGGTTTACTACTTCAGCAATGTAAGAAGCTACTATGTTAGTAGCTTCAGGGGGATATAAGAGCCCCATGCTATAAATCCGTAAGGCAGGTCCTTAACAGGCAGTCATAATTGCCTCTATGTATAAACACACCCCACTCGCACACACCTTGCCTCATGATTTCTGCTACTTCAGGGTGTGCTCAGGTTCCCCTTTCCAAGCCCTTTCTCTGCAATCACGAAACCAGGAAAGAACTACTTTAACATAAATTCGTTTGTTTGAGCTACTCCCAGTACCAGGGCTTTAGGAAGTGTACCAGACGATGCATCAGCTGCCATAGCATTGCCAGAGTTGGTCCCCTGCAAGTGACAGGATTTCAAGCTGAAAGGGATCTTCTAAGCCCATTACAGTGCCATGTGATTTACTACTTCAGTGACTTATGAAACTAACTTAGTAGCTTTGGGGGACATGGGAAATCCTCCTCTAAGAGTAAAATAATACTTTGCCACTGGCTGCGATGATTATTTATGGGAGGGCAGGATCATTTTCTCGTGAAGCGGAAGGTAGCTGTTGGGTGGAATCAAAATGTCTGTCTAGGTAGGGGAAATGTTTATTACTTTGGGAGAAAAATATCAGAAGGAAACAAGTCAACTATAAGGTCATACCATACAGAGTTTATATCAGGGGGGTTGCATACAGATCTGCAGGGAAAGACTAAGCATGCCTATTTTATGAGGGTGTTGCTTTTCTTTTGAGAAGTCGGTGCGTACTGAGTTTTTAAAAGCAAGCCAAGTTAAAGAATTAACTGAGAGTGAGCATTGACAGTTTTGATTCGAAAGAAAATTAGAGAACAAAACTCGGCATGTCAGTTTGAATTGTTATTTAAAAGCGTGAGATCTTGAGGAAGGAAAACAATATCAACAGCCAAGCAAACCTTCTATAAAGAGTTGTCATGGCATCTTGCAATTTTTTTTTAAAGCAGTTCATAAGCACTCGTGTTTCCATCATTTCCTTGTGATATAGGTAAGGGGATATACTGGGATATCTGCAACGTATCATTAAAACTTGGTAACATGCAGGACTAAAATTTGTATCAGTAAAACCATAGGCAACGTGTAGGGCGGGCACAGGGGGACGTGTGCCCCCCCTGCAATTGGCTGCCGCCAAAGCCGTGGCCAGCTTCTGTGGGTGGATGCCACTGCTCCTTCGCTCCCTCCCCACCACTGTCACGCCTGCCCTCACTACCAACATCACTATGGCCGCCTGCAGGCAATCCCTGCTCGATGCTGCCACACCCCCACCGCTGCTGCTGCCACCTGCAGGTGGTCACCATGCTCCCCCGCAGCCTCCGGAGGCATGCATTGTTCATGACTAATTTAAAACTTGTATCAGTTTAACAGTCTAGCATAATTATGACTTTCTGTGTATAGGAAGTAAAGGCCACATTGCCTAGTGGGGTGCTATACTTAGGAGTATAGAATATAGCACCACTGTGTTCTTCTCCAAGAAAATTAATTCTGCAGCAGTGTACGTAGTTTATTTTCATATGCATAAGAAAAAGGGCCTTCTCGAGATGTTTTAAAAGGCATTCCTTGACCTATGCTGCAGGGACCAGAGGAAGATCAGGAGCCCGAGTCTGAACTAACCGTGACTCAGCTGAAAACTTTGCGCAAAGAGCAGCAGGCAAAGCTAGAGAAGACCATGCTGGGCGAGGACTCTGATGAAGATGATGAAAAAGAAGAGAAAAAAAATGAGACCAGTGGGAGCAATGATATGACCTGCTCATGGGGACTGGGTAATAATAGCTTGCATCTCTGAATGAAGATGTTGACATGCAAACAAAGACTGCAGCTGCTTTCAGCATAACCTGGGTAGAGAAGGACTAGGCCTTAAATTTCGAATAAGGCAGTGTATTAAGAGGGGGAAAAAATTTAATAGAAATAAATTTTCTCCTTACAGGGAAGTTTACAGGTGCAAACCAGTTTGTGGGTGGAAAAAAACAGGAAAAGGTGACTAATATTATCTGTACTTAAACCGGAAAAGGAAAAGAAGTCAAGTTTTAAGGTTTATACTTTCTTCTTAACTTTTGCTATGTTGTATATGTCACTGTAGCAAACGTAATGTGTAATTACTTCTGAGACCTTCACAAAAGGGACTCTGAATTTTTTTGCATTTTGGGATTTATTTGGCAATTAGAATTGAGCTTTTAATTTTTACAGTTTAATACTAGTGAGAACCAAATCTTGCAAAGAAACATGAAAACTGGCAAAACAGACCGTAACTTCACCTATTGAAGTAAACTTTAAGGATATAAACAGCAATTTAAAATCATAATCTCAATACAAAAATGCCAGGTAATTCATCAAATAAACATAAATTAAAATTATTATACAAGGGGGTACTAAATAGTGCCTTGTATCTTGTTCCATCCTAGTAAAGGTTGAAATACACTTCAGTCCTCTTCCCAAACTCCTTTCCTATTTTATTTGCACTTCTGTTTGTGTTCTTCCAGGGGAAGATGCAGAGGAAGATGAGGCTGAAGAAAACCCAATTGCCATTGAATATCAGGAAGCGCAAGAGGCTTTCTATATGAAGGACCCTAGGAAGGCAGTGCAGGGTTTCTTTGACAGAGAAGGTATGTGTATTGGTTGTCCTTTAATGGCTGGGCATTTTCTCCATTGTGATGATTTTTAGCAAGTATTGATGTGTGCTTAATGAATACCTGTCACTTTAGGAGGAGATGAGGCTGCAGTGAGGGCTCAGGTGGCAATTGAGGGAGTCGCCTGACTGGCAAGAGGCACAGCTAGCAGCATATAAACTCAGGGCAGTCTAGCCCTGAGAGCTTCAGAAAGAGGCACTCCTGTGCAGCAGGGCTCCCTGGTAACAGCTGAGCTGGGGTAAGCAGCACTGGAGGCTTGTGGATGGGAGTTAGGAGTGAAAGAGATCTCAATAGGTACAGGAGTAGGGCCAGCGGCCTGGGAGCAAGGCCAGAGTCTGGGAACAGGGTAGAGAGGGACAAAGGCCTGAGAGAAGGGCCAGAGCCCAGAAACAGATGAGGGCCTGGGACCCAAAGCCCAGAGAGGGGCAGAGGTAGGGCAGAGAAGCTTGAAGATTGGGGCTAGGGGTCTGAGGCCCAGAAAGGGACAGATATAGGAACTTTATAGGCCAGGACGCAGTGCCCAGGAGTAGCCCATGTAGGTGAAATACTCAGGTGGGGAGTAGAGGTAAAGAGACTGTTCCCCGAGAGAAGCAGGCAAGCCTGGAAATCACACCAGGGAGTAGCCAAGGTAGGCAAAGTGCCCAAGCACGGAGGTCCGATCATGGGGGCTGTGGCCATGGCACAAAAGGTGTGCACCAAGAGAAGCAATCCCCACAGCCAGTCCTGCTGACCTAGAAGTGCCAGTGGTGTGCCTGGAAGTGCCAGTGGCACTTTTGGGGGAGAGGAGAGTGAGGGGCTTAGACCTGCATCCTGGTCAGCTACGGGGGCAAGGAGAGGCTCTTGACTTCCCATGATAAAAAAACCTAAAATCAAATACCAAAAGTTATAGGTACTTACAGTTTATTTCATTACAGTGATTGAGGCACTGGTAGGCTTCCAAATTGCTTTAAAACTGTAAATATATCAATAAAACGTGTTCAGTTGATACTTATATATCTAGTGGTGTCTCATTTTAATTGCAGATTTTGACTTTTTAATCAGAGAATTTGTGTTTTTGTCAAGGAATTTGCAATTTTTAAACAGAAAACCAGGATCCCTGATAATGATATGTCTGTTCAGTAGAGCAATCTGGAGCATGTGATATCTGTATTTTAAAAAAACAGGCTAAATGAAAGGTCATGCATATGTGAACCAAGAGTATAGGCTGCTTTATTTTTGGAAAGTAATGCCTTAGAAAAAGGTATTAGGATTGTGAAGGATAACCAACTGAATGTAATAAGATCATGGGATCATCAATAGATGAGAGAGAAAATCCTATCCATTTAGGAGAAAATCTAGGAAAGGAAGGGTTGTTCTCTCTCACTGCTTACGTCTGGCTGTCTTCCCATACCCCTGGGAATTACTGCTTATTATTACAACTAGGGCAGTTGCATCAACCTGTCTTGTTTCTTGTCTAGGGGAAGAATTAGAATACGAATATGATGACCGTGGACACAATAGCTGGCTCTGCAGGGTGAAGTATGTACTTTCTAAAATTAGGGGTACCCTTGTCCTCCTTCAGCTGTCCTTACTTTGAGAAACCCAAAAATTTGTCATGTGCGAGGAAGAATTTAGCAGCCATTATCTCTTAAACTGAGAGGTGTATGCTATTTGGAGTCCCTTGTAGCCTTTCCAGATATATTAAGTACTAGTTCTCAGCTCCAAAGTTTCCCAAAAGGCCATGGATATCTTGTGGTAACAAGGAGAAAGTTAGGTGGTAGTCAGAATCATATGATAACAGATTATCCTGAAATGGCTTCTGTGGCTTAGAGAATCCCTGCCCCGGTATGGTATAAAACATTAATTTCTAGCTTTGGAAACTTGCGAGATACTAATGCTCAAGATGTCCATGGGGCCATTGCCTCCTCAGTGCTCTTTTGCAGTGATGGAGGACTGGATACAGGGAACTCGTACTTCCTAAAATATTCTGGCATATACTGGCCTGTGGAAGTAACACTTCCGCTTTGACTAGTACTATAAAAACGGAAATATGGAAATAATAGGTTTCAGGAAAGAGTCTGTGGTTGGACATTAAAAAGCAATGCATATGCAACAAATGTAGTAGCCTCTTGTATCGTCTTATGGAAACTGTTTATGTTTTACCCTTTGATCTGAACAGGTTGCCTGTGGATGATGCATCAGGGAAGCAGCTGGTGGCAGAGGTTACCCATTCAGGAAAGAAAAAGGAAGCAATGATACAGTGCGCGTTGGAAGCTTGCAGGATACTGGATGCTAGGGGTGTGCTGCGGCAAGAGGCAGGTTGGTGACTGACCAAATGCTTCAGTAGCTCGTCTGTAGGTGCTCCCTTTGGGAGGTTATTAACTACTAAGAAAACCTTGGCCTCCTGTATACATAGCCAAAGGTTGTTAATATAAATGCTGAGTAAGTTTCATAGTTGTTAGGGGCTAGAAGGGACCTTACAGATCATCAGGTCCAGCCCCCCTGCACATGGGCAGGAAAGACATGTTCGGTGTATGATACTAAATGGTTAGCTACTCTTAACTCAGCAATAGATGCTTCTAACCTCAAACAACTGTTTCTCAGAGGCTTTACATCCATTACTTTCTTGCTCTTCCTCCCTCATCCTCAGTATCCCGGAAGAGAAAAGCAAAGAACTGGGAAGAGGAGGATTTTTATGATAGCGACGATGACACTTTCCTTGATCGAACTGGAGCTGTCGAAAAGAAACGACTGAACAGAATGAAAAAAGCTGGGAAGATAGAAGAGAAACCAGAGACTTACGATTCCCTGGTAAGTGTGACTTCAGGTTAGCAGCAAGGCTAGGCATTTAGGGTGTCACATTGAGTGCATCATACATGTACAAATGTGGAAGGAAGGTCAGAGAGATTTAAAAAATCTGTTGTCATTTTAAAGCCATATTTACGTATCAATGGGTCAGGCCACAAAAATAGAGTTAGAGTTCAGATTCCATAGAATGTGTGGTTTGAAGGCTTTAAGGACTGAAAACTTGTAATGACACGTGGAGGAAGCCTTTTGAGTCCAGCACAGGATGAAAGTAGCTGAAAACTGTTACCAGTGCTTCAGTAGCCCATGTGCAATGAGCTGCAAGTTTGTGATATGGAGATTTGCCAACTGAGGTTTGGACTTGGATACCATGATGACACTTGGTAGTAGTGTGGTGCTAATTAGCAATTTCAGTAAAGAAGGAAATACTGTCCAGGGAGGAGAACTGTACTCTTGCTCTAGAGTCCTCTCTGCTTAAGACCCAAGGGAGGCTGGAGAGAAGGTACTAAAGTTTATGCCTTCTGTAGATAGCAGAACTCAGTTCTTAGACTTTTCAGTCACCTGATACAAACCATGAATTTACATGCAAACTAGAGGAGGCAAGAGAAATTTGCAAGCTGAAGCAGACCTTTGAAAGTACTTTCTCTGGGGACATGAATTGGTAACCATGTTCCATTCTAATGTAAATGTGTAGCATTGTTTTTGCCTGTGCAGTTCTGTTTTCTACTTGACGTGTTGTCTGAGAGGTCTGAATTTAAGCATCAGAACAAGACTTAACCAAACTGTTTCAGGTCATTGGAAGATAATTTCTAGTGACAAGTGCACAGGGCACAACCAAAACAAGAACTCATTCCTGCTTCAAGGAACATGTAACACTGGTTGGCAAGAGGGTCATGCACAGGGAAGCGAGAGGAAGGACAAGGGTGAGGAAAGGACCCATGGTAGTTATATGGTTGCTCAGGCATGTACACATCTTGATGCCTCAGGAAGAAAGTAAGCTATTCAAACACTTATCAAAGTAGTAAGAAATGATTTAGGAGTGAAGTCAAGACCTGATCAGGGATTAGCCATGGAGAGATGGAAATCATGTAATAGGTCCTCCCTCCCTCCCTGCCATGATAACACTCAAATGTAAAGTGAAAACATCTTCTAATCCAGTGGTTTTTCCATAGGTTGCAAAATTAAATGAGGCTGAAAAGGAACTTTTGGAGATAGCTGAAAAATTGAAGGCTTCAGGAAAAGGTAAGACTAAGCCCTTCTGGAAAGACTTCTCTAGAGAGTGTGCAGGGAATTTAAGAGAATTGCATAATATATATCTACTGTCATATGTTTCTTTTTCCCACACTCCATTTTCATTAGCAGTGAGCAGACCTGCAGGCCACTGAATCAGCTAGCCCGTGAGACTACTCCCAAAGCCATTATTTAATCCAGCGTTCAGGTTCTGTGTTTGTGTTCTGTAGGGCCAGTTGTTTGCTTAATGATACTAAAAACAAGTTATCCGAGCACATGTAACATTTTAAGACAACGTAAGAAGGGTGTGTGAGCCACTTGCTTTTAACAGAGTAACTGAGTACTCATAGGTGGTAAAAGTATTAGCAAAATTTACCTAATTTGAAGACAGTTTCTTCCGTACCTTCCAAAACTTTGTTCAGGAACAAAAACCCAAAGATTTCTGAGATTTGCAGTTGATGATTATTAAGATCATCTTTACCACTGCAAGTGCAAAAAGTAAAAATGGCAAGAGCACAGGACCAAGAAACTTGTGTTGAATTAGAGGTGCATCAATACATCGGTCCAATATTGGATTGACACCAATATAAAGAGAATCGATTGCATCGGATATCAGCCTGATGCAGCTGATAATTTGGCCGATAAGTGCCCGTGCACATGCGCCACCGAAGCACAGCATGTAGGCAGCAAGGAGTATAGCCCGGCAGCTTGGAGAGCTATGTGTAATTGGTAAGTCTGGTGTAGTGGAAGGGAAGGGTGTGCGGGGGCGGATCAACATGCCCCACAGTGAGGTAGGGAGGGGGGCTGGGGCTGGGGCTGGCACTGCCCAGCTGGGGCAGGGCATGGGATGGAGCCATGGCTTGTGTGGGAAGGGGGGAGCAGCTCCCATGTGCTGCTGGATCTGTCGGGTGGGGTGGGGAGGGCTACAGCTGTGGGCGCGGGCCAGGGCTGCGCCAAGCTCTTCCCAGTGCATGGGGGCTGCGCTTGAGGCTACACTCAGGGTGGGCAGCAGTGGCAGTGCTGGGAGGGGGCTACAGGAGGCCTACAGCAAAACTTGGGGTGGCTGCAGCCCCCCATCCCCCCCCAGCACCGCCACCACTTGCCCCACGCCCACATGCCAGGAAGAGCCTGGTACAGCCCCAGCCCACAGCTGCAGCACCCCCCTCCGCCCCTGGGCCTTCCCTTCCCGCACAGGTCTGGCCCCCCACCTCATCCCAGGGTGCATACAGCAGCAGGAGCCTCCCCACACACCCCAAGCAAGTGGCTGCTCTGTCCTGGGCCCCACTCTGCCCCAGCTGGGCAGCACCAGCCCCACTCCCTCCCACATTGTGAGGGGCATTGATCTGCGTCCCCACACCCCTTCCCTCCCCCACAACAGACTTACCAGCTGGACACAGCTGTATTGGAAATCAGAACGGTATCAGCCGATATGCCTCCTTAAAAATCTGCTATCGGTATCAGCCCCCCAAATCTCTATCGGTGCACCTGTAATGTTGAAGTGTAGGTTCTGGCCTAGCCAGTGAACTTCTTGATGCATAAGATCAGAGTTTGGGTTCCAAACTTTCTACTTTGCAGGGCCCCAAAGCAGGGGGATCCTTTCTAGGATGGATGGGAGTTGTGGAGGCAGAAAGCTGCTTCCAGCAAGATGGTCCTTTTCATCACTCATAACTTCTCCCAGAAAGGAGTATTAGAAAGCAAAGTGCTTGAAAGTGTGCAATGGGTCAGGGGATCATGACAGGGTAGGCATCATAAAGGTAATCTATTTCAACTTTTGGCAGTTCTGCTTTCCTTTGTGCAAGATGTAACTGATATTTATTTTCCATAAACCAACACAACACCAATTCTAATTCAGATTGATGTCTTTATTTCTGAGAGTTTGTCTTGGACCACAGCTTGAAGAAGCTTACTACTCCTGAAAATACTCAGATTTATCTGTCAGCTGAGTATATCTGTGGCAGTCTTTTCCATATAATGTCCATGGTAGACAGGTCATGATTGACTAACTGTAGAAGATAATGCGTTATCCACTTTGAAAGGTGGGAATCCAAGTTTTTTCCTGATGAAAAACAATTGTACCAGGAACTAATACTTTACAAGGTAGATGCTAAATCAAATTGCAATAGAAAATGGAGAAAGGAAGAACTAAGATGTTAATCAGAATGATGTATTAATTTCAGTGCATGACTTCAAAATGATTCATATTCACTGTAGTAATACTGGAAATTCAAGGACCTGAGCATCCTGTGCAGTTTGCCAAGTCCAACAATATATTAGTCCTTACAGTGAAACAATACTATAGTTATGCTGGTGCCTCACTTGAACAGTTGCATTCTATCCTCGTCTGCTTCCAGAGAAGCAGCAATGCCTGAGTTGCTGACTAATAATCTTTTGGGGTTGTGTTGGTTGGTGGGCTTTTTTTCAGCATATTGCGTTAATCTTAGATGCAGGCAGTAGCTTCCAGAAGCCCATACATTGATTACAACCAACTTTGGCAGCCCACCATTGTGATAACAGTTGTTCAGTAACATGACTCTGTGAAGCCTCTTTATAGAGCTCTGGCTTTCTCTAAGTGATTACTTGACTTATGTCTAAGAGTGTGGATGGATGGATGAGTGAATGACAGGCTGAATTACAACACCTCTTACCAAGCACTTGTAGAGATTAAGTGGTTGTCAGAAGGATCTCGGTAGTGGCTTACAAATCACTCTCTAAAGTCATTCAGAACTAACTGCTGATGTGCCTGCTTAATAATTCTCGCATACTTCAGTGCAGCTCAATGAAAATCTCTGTGTATTTGACTTTCAATCTTATTTTTTGTTATCAATAATTTTCTTCTTAATGGACAAGTTGGTAGTAAAGTAAATAGCCTCATAGCTTTTATCCCTATGTTCCTGTTTCATCCCATTATCTGTTTTGGGTCTGATCATGTACATCTCAGTATTTAAGGGCAAAATGTGCTGTATGCGCCATGTCTCTGCTCCCCCTACCCCACTCCCCCTTTTCAGCATATCTATTTTTTCCTTTATCTTGCCCAGGCCAGTCCAAGCCAGCAGCTCAGGATTCCTTGGATGAGTTCATGACTGAAATAAAAGCAGGATCCACCTTAGACAGTGTGGCACGAAAAAAGCTTCATTTGCGGACCTTTGAACTCAGGAAAGAGCAACAGAGGCTGAAAGGGTTAATAAAGCTCGTTAAGCCTGCCGAACTGCCAGAGTTGAAGTCCCAGTGAGTTTTGGCCAATGTATAGAGCGGTAACCATTGTATGTTGTGCACATGGAATTGTGATTCTGCCTGGCAGAACGCTGCTGAGATGTAACAGGAGCAGATTCTATCTTGGGTACTACCTCATGTACCATCCCTCATCATTTTGAAGGGTCACCTAGCTATTGGACTTGCTGCCCAATCAGGGGAATGATTCAGTTGCTGACACAGCAGCAATAAAATTGAAGTAGTATAATCGGGTTTCTTTGGTGCATGTGCATACATGATGGCATTTCTCAATAGCCTGTCATCCTGAAGGATCCCTGTGCACTTTTAAATGCGGGGAGGAAAAAAGGGACACATGATGCAAAGACCAGTTGATTCACTTGCTGAACTGCAGCTACATCCTGGCAACTAATTGTTGCAGCTGTTCAGACAGGGCATAGCACAACACAAGTTGAAGACAAAGTGTATACCTTATCAGTAGACAATGGTGAGACAATTTAGGTAGGTGAAGTATAATTACTTAAGTAGTAGTTTAGCTTGTATATTAATGAGGTTGTCTTAGGGGTCCCTCTAGCTTTGGCCAAGTGTCTGACTCCTATTACAACTCTCCCCCCACCCCACTAATGTATTTCCTGCAACTCATCCCTGTACACTGCAATAGTGAACACTTAATATCACATACAGGGGTTTGGGTCCTTGTTTCCTAGGATTATTTTGTTCTACAGATATTTCCATTCTTAACTGAAAAGGATTGATGTGAAGACATTCGCCTTGGGCTTTGAATGTGCTAACTAGTTTTATATCCGATTTATGCTAGGACTGGGAGTCGTGGTCTGGAAACGGAGAACAAGCCTAAAAAGCTAACGTTGCCTCTCTTTGGGGCAATGAAAGGGGGAAGCAAATTCAGGCTGAAAACTGGAAGCCTAGGGGTAAGTTGGGTGAAGACACCAGACTGAAGTTATCCTCTAGCCTGAAGCTTTCCCTTCATTTCCTTTTTGACTAAGATCAAATGTACCATTGAATCTGTTGCGAATATGTCTCTACAAGGGGACTACTTGTTTTTTCAGAGGAGAGCAAGGCTCCTTCCTCCATTTTCACCTACTGTGATTCCTATAACCTTTTTCTTGGGACCAGCCAATTTTTTTTCCACCCAGGTGTGTTACTTTACTAGTTCTTCCTGTGACGAAACATATACTTTGCCCTGTAGTGTCTGTCTTGACTCTTCTACCTGTCGTAGATCGAAGTCTTCTGTACTGCTCTTTGCAGTATTATTCAAGTATCCATGCATCTGTTTGCTTTTGCCCCACAGAAGATGCCCATCAGGCGTCCAGATATTCCTGAAAACATCTTAAAAATGAAAGATGATGGGCCAGAAGTGGAGGAAGAGGAGGAAGAGGAAGAGGAGCAGGAGATGAAAGCAACAAACAGCAGGAACAAGAAACCAGAGGTGAAAGTGGCAGCAGAGGAAGAAATGGAACAAGAGATTCAACTTCCTCCTAGCTCTCCTTGTAAGAGCAAGAATTTGGATTCTACTCGTGGTAAACATGCCTTTGATTTCCCTGTTTTACACTGGATTGTGCAACTGTTGAATTCTTCAGAGCTAACTACAACTGGGGCTTTGATTCACTGACATTCCTATGACACTTTGCAGATTCCCTTTTTGCAGCTTTGCAACTGAGAGTTCAGTGTGGGTGCCAACAGGTCCAAGACATCTGTTTTTTTGTTTGTTTTTTTTACCTGGTTCATGTCAAAACTCTACACAACAGTCAGTTTCCCCACAGTTTTGGTGAAATAACAGAAATTTCCGTAGGGCTCATTGAGGAGAGCCCTCTGTTGATAAACCAGTATTAAGGTTAAGTGGGGGGGTTAATACTTAAGTAGGGCTCTATATTTACAAAATATATAGCATTATTAGTAGGGAGGGGATGATTAATAGGAAGCAGGTGTCAGTGAAAAGCTTCCAATGATTGTTTATAAAGGAGAATAATTTTTAAATTGCAAGGGCAAGAATTTTCATTGCTTTTATAGTTCATATCCATAATTCAGCCTTTTTCCATTTGCTGATTCTGCTCATGTGAAAACTCAGGCATAATGTTGCTGTCAGTTCTGTGGCTGCTGATGGAACAGAAACTCTGCCTGTAGTGTAAACTCCTTGCCTGTAGTGTACAACGTTCCATGTGATATGGCCAAGTTCTTAGAACTATAGGCTTTTTATTAAAACTGGCTTTGTTGGTCATTGAAAGTCTCCCCTAACATTGCATTTCATTTCTGTGGGGTTTGAAATGAGCATGGCCAAGCATATCCTAGTGTGAAGTGTTTGGGGATACCGATGTTTTGTTTGCCATAATGTCTGAAGCTTGTTTCCCCCCCTCCCCCCCGACTTTCCTTGTGTTTTATAGAGGTTTGTTTTCCAACCAGCAAGGAGCTCAAGACTTCAGAACATGCATCTCAAACTGGCCCCTCACAAGAGAAGCCCCAAGGTGAGCAGTGCAGTTTGTGACTCAAGTTGTGCTGCCCCACGTTAACCAAATAATTTATTGTCCATACAGACTAAAAGAAAAAAACAGCATTATTTAGTCTGTAAAGCAGGGGATTAGGAGCCCAGCATGTGACAAAGACAAGGCACTTTAAACTCAATTATTTGCACCCTCTTCCCCCAATCCTTGCCTTCTATTTGTAAACTGCTTTGAGTCCTTGAATGACTGGTACAATATAAACTCAGAATTATTTTAACATGGTAGCATCACAGCAGAAACATTTGAGGGAGATGCTAGCATAGAAAATTGCATTCCTATCCTTCCCTTGTTACAGGAGCCAAGCATAGTAGAAAGGGGAGATGTGTGGGAAGAGTTTTGTCCATGCCGTTGAGTACCATACAGCATTAGCATGTGCTGCAGGAGTTACTTGAGGGTTACCACTCTTCTTTTAAAGAAAAAAGAACCCAAAAAATACACTGCTGCTCAAGAGCCAAGCCCCAATTTGGCATACGAACATGTAGAACAAATATATATGAATTCTTTTCTCCCCCACCCAGCACTGATTCTTCAAGAAGACTCTTTCTTCCTCTTATTGTTTCAAGTTAGGCACAAGAGTGACTCAAGATTAGAGTAAGCAGTAGGAAAATCAAGGGTATTTGTCCTTTCTGTCAAGCTGTTCTCTTCCACTACCTGTTGTTTCTGAATTTAGACATGATTTTTGTTAGTACATTGATACTAATGTTTCCTAAAGAGTCTTTCCAACTTTTGATATAAAGTTTCTGCAGTGCAGGAATTTGATGTCCAGTGTCTGAGAAATTTCTTGGCTCCAGTTTTATTGCTGTATCCTAATGTAATTTTCCAGAAGTTTGATTTGTATAACATGTATTTCTAATAACAAGAGTTGGAAAAGGCCTGTTAGATCATTAATACCTATCCCTGGCAAGCATGAGACTAATTAGAGTGTATGCACTAAGCTGTATTTGCCAATGAGCTAAAATGATTTTAGCTCAATAAATTACTAACAGTAAAAACCTAATCAAAAGATCAGAGCTGAATTTTTGTGCCATGAGAATAATGAGTCTGTTTCATTTTTTTTTCTGTTTTGTTTTGTGTTTTCCCAAGTTGGCCCTTCATAAACTCTCTTCTGTTAGAGCGGCTGGTTCATAGTCTACGAGCAATGCAATGTCATGTAAAACACCAGTTTTATTTCTTCCCAGCATCTGGAATATGGAAAAGAAAATCTGAAGAGGGACCCAAAAAAATGAAAGCAGTTAATAGCCTAAGCAAGGTAAGTAATGGTACCAGAATTATTTTCATACAGAGGAAACATTTCCCACTGTAAAGAGCCTGAGAGGATTCCCTGTTAATGAAATGGGATAGTATCTTGGTTTTATTTGAAGATAGTTGCAAATAAGTCTTTTCCATTATGCAAGATGCCATTCCTCTTGCAAAATTAGTGAACTGGACGCAATGGAGAGCTTTTGCAAGTTATCAATGAGTATAGCTTGTAAGAAGGTATCACCTAGCAATCGAGACGGTATCATAGAAAATAAGGATTGGAAAGGACCTCAGGACCTCTAGTCCAACCACCTGCTTTAAAGCAGGACCATCCCCAACCAGATCATCCCAGCCAAGGCTTTGTCTAGCTACTCTTAAAAACTTCCAAGGATGGAGATTCCACAACCTCTGCCGGTAACCTGTTCCAGTACTTTACTACCCTCCTAGTGAGAGTTTTTCCTGATATCTAACTCTAACTTCCCTTGTTTTGTTACCACCACTGAGATCTAGTTCCATCCTCTTTGGAACCACCCTTCAGGGGTGCTATTAAATCCCACCTCAGTCTTATCTTTTCAGGCTAAGTAAACCCAGTTGCCTCAGCTTCTCATAAGTCATGTGCCCCAGCCCCCTCACTATTTTCATTGCCCTCCATTGGAATCTTCAGTTTGTCCATCTTCTTGGGGGGGAGGGGCAAAAGTGGACACAGTACCCAGATGTGACCTTACCAGTGCTGAATAGAAGGGAACATAGGCAGGCAAGGTTTTTTGGGTAGGTGTGATATCTTTTATAGACAAGCGAAATAGTTGGAAAAAGTGTTTTGCAAGCTTTGGGGCACAAACACCCTTTGTCAGGCATAAGGAAACTGCTGGTGTTACGTGTTCTCCAAGGTAGAAAAGAAACTAATTTACAACAAGCAGGTCTGGGAAAATGCAAATGAGTGGAAGTTCTGCAGACAATGAGTAAAGATTTGGGGGGGGCGGAGGGGGGAATGTTTGAGGAATGCAAGTGATCAGCTGAAGGCAGATTACCTGGAGTATCAGATGTCAGGCAGGTTGTAATGCATCATAAAACCAATGTCTATATTTAAAGTCCATGACTTTTTGTATCCAGTAGAGTTATGAAGTGAAGTTTGTAGGCTCGTCTACGAAAGGAGTTTTGTAAATTCCCTTTGAGGATTAGAACTGAGACATTGGAGAAGGAGTGATTGTCTTATGAGAAGTGTACATCCACAAGTAATTGAGTAATTTTGTCTTTGATGGATTTGTGGCGTGCATTCATTCTGGCTCGCAATTGTTGTTTGGTTTCTTCTACATATTTTCAGGGCATTTGGTGCACTGCATGAGATGTATTACATTTCTTGAGGTGCAGGTGTAAGATCCAGGAATGGTGATGGTTCTGTTGTGGGGTATAGTTATTGTGGGGGTGATGGAGAAGTGTTGACAGGTTTTACATTTCTTGTCATGGCATGGTCTAGATCCTTTTAGTGTGGTTTGGGTCACCGGAAGTTTGGTTTTGATGATGAGGTTTAGTGATTGTTAAAGGCTAGGATGGGTAGTTCTGGAAAGATCTCTTTAAAAATTTGGTCTTCTAGTATGGGTTGTAATTGTTTGAGGATTTTCTATATAGGTGCCAGGAAAGGAGGGTATGTCATAACTAATGGTGTGTGTTTTGTGGGGATTTTCTTTTTGTACTGCAGTAATTCTTTGTGTGGCATCTGTGTGGCTCTTTCAACAGTGCAATCTCTCTCTCTGAAGGAGTGTCCTTGTTGAATGAAAGCCCTTTTGAGATTTGTAAGGTGACTATCATGGGTGTTCTCCTCAGTGCAGATTTGGTGGTATCAGAGAGCTTGGCTGTAAATTACAGCTTTTTTTGGAATGTTTAGGGTGATTGCTGGTTCTGTGTAGATATGTAAGTTGGTCCATGGGGTTCTTGTATATGGTGGTTTATATTTTACCATTTTGGATATTGATCGTAGCATCTAAAAAGGAAATGTTGGTGCTGGAGTATTCAAAAGATAGTCTGACTGAAGGATGATGATTGTTGAATTTGTGATGAAAATCAACCAGAGACTGCAAGTTTTTGGTCCAAATGATGACGTCATCTATATATCACAGGTATAGCATGGGTTTGGTGGTGCAGTTTTTGCGGAATTCTTCTTCCAGGTAGGCCATAAAAAGGTTGGCATATTGTGTGGCCATTTGGTGCCCATACTTGTGCCCATGGTCTGGAGGAAGTGTTGGTTGTTGAAACTGAAGTTGTGTGTGAGGATAAAGTGTGTAAGTTCAGTTAATACCTTGAGGTCTGTACTCTGAGTTGTAATCTTGCTCTTGTAGATAGGCAGGCTTGGATGCCATCCTGATGTTGGATGTTGCTGTATAAGCTGATGACATCAATGGTGGCTAGGAGGGAATTGCTGGGAAGATGGTTTGTTTTTGAGTTTTCACAGAAAGTCTGTTGTGTCTTGGATAAAACTCGGTCTTTGGGTAACGAGGTTTTAGAGGGGAAGAATCACTTCCCTTGATCTGCTGGCAGTACTGCTACTAATGCAGTTCAGTGTACCATTAGCCTTCTTGGCAGCAAGGGCACACTGTTGGCTCATTCAGCTTACTGTCCACTGTAACCCCCCAGGTCCTTTTCTACAGATCTGCTGCTTAGCCTGTTGCGGTGCATGGGATTCCTCCCTTCTAAGTGCAGGGTTTTGCACTTCTCATGTAGTTTCTTCTAGTCCATTCCTCCAATTTGCTGAGGTCTCTCTGAATCTTAGCCCTACTCTCCAGCATATCTACTGCTACCCCCACCTTGGTGTCATCACCAGCCACTAAGTGTATTCCACTTGATACAAGCTGCCATCTAGACATGGAGCCATTGATTGCTGCCCTTTGAGCCTAACAGTCCAGCCAGTTTTCTATCCATTTTACAGTCCATTCATCCAGCCCACACTTTCTTAGCTTGCTTCCAAGAATGTTGTGGGAGACGGTATCAAAAGCCGTACTAAAGTCAAGGTATATCAAGTTCACTTCTCTCCCCACATCCACCGAGCCAGTCATAGAAGGCAATCGGGTTGGTCAGGCGTGACTTGCCTATGGTGCATCCATGCTGTCCATTCCTAATCACCTTCTCCTCCCAAGTGCTTAGAAATGGATTTCTGGAGTACCCACTCCATGATTTTTCCAGGAACTGAGGTGAGACTGACTGGTCTGTAGTTCCCAGGATCCTCTTCCTTCCCTTTTTTAAAAATCATGCCCTTTTCCAATCATCCGGGGCCTCTCCCAACCAGCACAAGTTTGCAAAGATGACGGCCAACAGCTCTGCAATCACATCAGCCAACTCCCTCAGCAACCTCAGGTGCATTGCATTTGGCCCTATGGACTTGTATGTGTACAGCTTTTCTAAACAGCCCCTAACCTGTTCTTTCACCACTGTTGGCTGCTCACCTCCTACCAAACTACTGCCAGATACAGTAGCCTGGGACCTGACTTTGCTGTTATAGATGAGTAAAAAAGGCATTGAGTACTTCAGCCTCTTCCTCCTCATCTGCCACAAGGTTGCCTCCCCGTTCAGTTAAGGGCCCACACATTCCCTGATCTTCCTCTTGTTGCTGATTATACTTGTAGAAATGCTTCTCATTACCCTTCATGTCCCTTGCTAGCTGCAACTCCACGTGTGCTTTGACCTTTCTGATTTCATCCCTGTATGCCCGAGCAGGACTCTTATATTCCTCCCTAGCTGTTTGTCCAAGTTTCCACTTCTTGTAAGCTTCCTTTTTGTGTGTTAGCTCACTGAAGTGTTCCCTGCTAAGCCAAGCTGGTCTTCTGCCATACTTGCTAGTCTTCCTGAACATCAGGATGGTTCATTCCTGTTCCCTCAGTAAGGTTTCTTTAAAGTACAGCCAGCTCTCCTGGACTCCTTTCCCCCTCAGACTGGCTTTCCAGGGAATCCTGCCCATCAGTTCCCTGAGGGAGTCATATCTGCTTCTCTGACGTCCAGGGTCCATACTCTGTCCTTCTTCCTTCCTTTCCTCAGGATCCTGAACTCCATCATCCCATGGGCACTGTTCCCCAAGTTGCTGTCCATTTCTACATTTCCCACCAGTTCGTCCCTGTTTGTGAACAGCAGGTCAAAAAGAACATGGCCTCTAATTGGACTGTCCAAAACTTGCACTAGGAAGTTGTCCCTAACGCTCACCAAATACTTCCTGGATTGCCTGTGCACTGCTGTATTGCCTTCCCAGCAGATGTCAGGGTGATTGAAGTCCTCCCCCATGAGAACCAGGGCCTATAATCAAGAAACTTCTGCTAGCTGTTTGAAGAGATCCTCATCCTCCTGGTTTGGTGGTCCAGACTTACCTCCCCAGTTACCTCAGGGCTTTGGTCTCCATCACCCAGTGAACCTAGTTTAAAACCTCCTCGCTAGGTTAATGAGCCTGTCTGCAAAGATGCTCTTCCCTCTTTTTCTTCAGGTGGATCCATAGAAGCTATAGTCAAGCTGGGCAACTTTTCAGTCCAGTTGTGATGCTCCCTTTCCAATATTAGAGTTGCTTCTCTGTGTTGCATTATGATGACATGCTTCTGCTAACACTCATTCATTTGTACTTTTGTTAATTTACCATAAAATATGGGGGGTTGTGGGGTCCAGGCCCATGATTTGCAGAGCTGTTTTGTGGATTAGAATGGGAGGTGTTGCCCAAAGGCTGATGTAGCAGAGATCTTAGCCAGGTATAGTGGTGCTAAACCCCTGGCCCACGAGCCAGATCCAGCCCACAGAGCCATGTCATCCAGGCTGCTGGGCTCCCCACAGGTCTGAAAATTTGGCAGTGGGGGAGCGGTAGCAGTGTTAATTATCGCTTCCCTGCTGCCAAATTTCTGACCCAAGGGGGAGCTCTATAGGCCAGATAATGTTGCCCTGTGTACCAGGTCAGGTACAGTTGAGCACCACTGGCCTGGTAAACTGGTACAGCTGACCAACAAACACGTGAAATGGCAACTGTAGCTTGTATGTCCTGCCCTTTCAAACTCAGCCTTCTGGGAGTCCTGGAAAAGATTATAATTAACCTTGTAAAACTATTGTAAATGGGAACCAAGGGGTGAGGAGTTTTCTGTTTACCTCCATAGAAGGTGAGTCATTTCTAGCTTGGGGATGGGGGTGGTACAGGCATTAAGGCGCATGGTTGACAGACCAGAGGTCACAAATTTTTGAGGCCACAGCAAAAGCGCTCATGGCACAGCCTGTCAGATTCCAAGCAATCTGTGAATTCTGCTAAATACCTTGCCACGATGACATGAAGAAGGAAGGAAAGGATTTCTAGCACAAAATTAGGTAACAAATTCTTCATATTTCAGGACATATGGCTTAGAAAGAAATTTTCTTGGGGGAAAATATTAGTCTAATTGTGAGGATCTTATACATTCCTGCAATGCATTGTGTACTGGCTAGTGGACCAGTGGATCACTGGTTTGATCTGATATGACAGTTTATGTAGTGGCATCTGGTTTGGCTTTGTCTGGTGTTCCAGCCATTGTAAAATGGCTAGATCACCTAACAAAGAAATGTAATATGAAGTCAGCCATTGTAATTACCTGATCCTTCCCAAAGAATTCAACACAGATGGAATGGGTATATCTTTTAAAGATGGTTCTCCATTGTTCCATGGAAGCATATTGAGGGCAGGATTAGTACATTTGTACTGCTTCAGCTTAAGGTGACCCATGTTATGCATAGAATAATGCTTAACGCTAAAATAATACCCAATGCCTTTAATTATGTTTGCATCACATTTTTGCACATGGTCTTACCTTTTGGGTGACATTTTCGGCACTGGGTCGCTGCTCAAAATGGACTTTTTCTTAAGTGTGAAAAGTTTTTTCCCCCCTCCTCCCCCCC